AACCTTACGCCTAATCAAGATACGCGACTCACACGAACTTAGCAAATTTCAAGGGTTTTCAAGCTCTGTTTAGCACTTGAAATCATGGAGACTTTTTGAGACTTTTTTGACTGTAGCTTCGTATGACTTATTTTCTATAGATCTGACTTAACAAAACTTAAATAGCTCAAAGAACAAGTGTAAAAACAGCACTTTTTTTGAACCGATCGTCATGTTATATAACTTAAATTGAAACCGCGAATGTCAACTACAAAACAGCAATTTTCTCATACTTAAAACAAACATTACTTCAAAAAATTAAGAGAAATACAAAGAAAATTAATCAGACAGCAAATATTTTCGGAACTTCCCTTGTTAAGATGCAAAAAAGACAATTTTCTGGACCGGAAACTTACTACCCGGCATATCACCGGAAATAGTAGCCATTTTGTCAACAAACCACGCGCGCAAAGCATAAAGGGATACTACTGATATCTCCTCTGATCCAACCATATCTTTTCTACAGACATTGCGCGCGAGGACAAGCAAGTCAAACAATTAGCCTAGGTAAACACACGCTTTTTTCTCACAGACAAGGTTTTGAAAACCACAGGCATACACTCATTTTTGCTCATTTTTGCTGGTTAACAACCCGCCCCTTCTGCGGATTTGCCCCTATTGTCCTAAAATGTTTGTTGTATAAGACAAGTTGATTCAAGAAATCCTAAAAGAGGAAGAGATCAGCGCAAGGATGACAATCAACGCACACTGACCTCACTCACTGAGCGTGAAATCCCTTCTCCAAACATGAAAGACTTGTTTGAAACATCACATAGCGATGAGCAAGAACTGATCAAGGGACTTGATGATATTTTGAGAAGAAAGAAAGAAAGATAAAAAAGGATATTGGGGCAAGGTTTTTTAAAAGTACATAAAGAATTTGGAATTCTTCGTTTGCACGTTACGTCATAGATCCAAAAAATAATAATTTAAACCTAATTTTCCATGAAATCGATTTTACTCTAAAATATAGTTTACAAAACTATGTTTCGAGATAATTTTTGAACTTATATGCGAATAATTTGATGCACARCGTGTTTTATTTGGTAGCGAAAGTCATATCACACAACGCCAGGTCACGCGCATGAAAAGCCGTGGAAATCATCTAAAATTCTTCTRAATCGTAGTTTTTTGTTTTAATATAGATTTAGAATTGCTAAATGTAATGAAAATAAGGTATATTTGCTATTTAGTACCCGAAATTATGTTCATAACAGTTGGCCGCCATTTCTGGTGGACTTCAGACGTCCACCAGTACTTTGTAAAGATCGGCATACAAAATTGCTTATAAACTTGCAACAAAAGCTCGGTTCGACTCACAATTTCACAGAATTACAGAACTTTAATACRTCTATTATGTGAAAGTACCGAAATTTTATCTTTGATTTTAAAACTCTCTAAAAATGTTGGTGCCGTGAAAGCGTATAAACATGATACTCGCCCGTACATTTCCTTCTAAAAAATTAACGTATAAAATTGTTTATATCTTGGCAAATAAAACTCTTTTCGGCGAAAAAGTTCTCAGGGATACAGAGTTTTACTCGCTCTTTCACATGGATTACTTGAATTTTGTTTGTGACTAATTTTACGGAAAATTTATTTTTCCATGACGTACGTGCAAACGAAGAATCATATTTGCCTTTCGCTACATTATAGCATTACTCGTTTCGAAGTCATTCAGGGGCAGATCCAGCTTGTGGGTGCAAGGGATGCGCACCCCCTCCTGAGATTTGTATCCTTTCATACTTTACTTATTTGGTATCTCCATGGTAATGACTTTTTGTTGGGTGCAACGCCTCCTGAGAGCCCCACACCACTCCCTGAGGAAAATTCTGGATACGCCCCTGGTCATTTAATATTGCAGGCAATCTTTTGGCACTGAAACACTGCTTAAAAGCTCTCATTTGGTCTTAAGCTTTTTGAACAAGACTCAGGCATTTTTAATATAGATGTATACTTGTGAATCTGCGGCCTTAAGCGGACCGTAATTGATATTACAGTAAGGTTAATCTGCAAATAAGAACACCCACTTTTTGTGATCAGGCTGTTTTCTTATTTTAAGAGTGCTTAACGAAAAATCATTATTTAGGCAGCCGACTTGGTGCAAAGTTAAACAAAAAAGAACGACTTAATCTGTTGCCCGTCTGAGCAAAAACCAGCCAGTTTTGACTGTGTGCCATGATCAGGCGTGGTTCAACTGAGAAGAAACTTTGTCTTGTTCATCTGAATTTTATCCACAGTGTCACATTTGTAGCAATATAGATTGCTTGATATCGGGATCAAATTTCGATTTGATGTCTCTATCATTGAAATATTCGACGGGAGAATCCAGCAATTTACCAAAGAGTCATGAAATCCTGTATCCAAGAACTGCAAGAAGCTGGTGGAACTAGTGGCTGTCATGGGGCATGCTAACACAAAAATGGGGGCCACAACCCACAAACATGCAATRACTTTGTGTAAAGAAAGGTCTTTGGGACCTGTTGGTTTGGTAAATGGATAACATTGGCACCATCACAAAACGAAGGCAGGCACATCAGTTTYCGAGTTGTGAAAAGTCKTTCTAACACCAGTGCTCAAGAGTTGGTTTTGTAAAATTAATGTACATCTATGTGACTCTAAGCATAACATGCATCTGAAGGTTATCATCAGAATCTATGCTGTGATTTATGGCATATACTCTTCAAATAATGCTGGGATATTTTACATTAATAATAATAATATGTGGTCAGACCTCTATTTAAGGCGCACAGCAGCCACGCAGCTTGCAATCATGAGTGTGAGTTAGTTCAAGTAAGTAAGTCACTGAGGGTGGTCACTGCCAGTGATTTGTTTACGTCCTCAGTGGTTCTTTTACGTCCACCTTATAACAGGGTTAGAGTGAAAGCAGACGGGACCTCCGGCTTTACGTCCGTATCCGAGAAGACGAGGCAGTGAAAGAGTAAAGTATCTTGCCCAAGGACACAACGTGATTGTCCGGCCTGGGAATCGAACCCGGGCCCTTCAGACCTGAGTCCGGTCGCCTAACCACTAGACCATCACGTCTCTCTCAATATTACTTGACAGTACACTTTTAATGAGCTTATCAAATCAACATTAAACATTATTAATAGATGAAGTATTTTAAAGTTGCAGCTAGGATATTGCATGACAAAGAAATTGAGTTGTCTCTAGCTTGAAAAACAAAATTGAATTCGCATACTTTGCATTTTGCCGCAGTACTGAAGAAGTTCGCAGTTGCAATCAAAACATCTACAATTAAATTTGTTTTTAAATCTAGAGATGACTCAATTTCTTTGTCATTATTCATAGATCTAATCAGCTAAAGCGTTGACATKTATGTTACCTCCCAATTCAAATTATGTGGGAAAAAGAACTTGTTTTTAAGAATTCAACTTTGACATGAAAATAYAACCAACAATGAAACTCAGTATTCAGCCCTGGTGGTTTGAATTGGGATAAAACGATTATATACAGTAGCAACGCKTTAGCCGATTAGGTCTATAATTTATTTATTAGTAGATAAAAGCTATATCCAATCCCTGATCACATTCATTTCTTGACAGATCTTGAAAAAGAAGTTGTTAATTTTCACAACTTTTTAAAGTTTTCAATTTTCTTCCTTTTGTATTCGAGCCTCTGAATCGTCTTAAGACCACAGGAAATGAAGAATTCTCAGGAGTTTCACTTACAAGAACTTCCTTGCTATTCAGCTGTTGAGCAAAACCACTTGCATTTTGAAACAAAAAATGTTGATTTTTTGAATGTCCATTCCTTTTGTCTTCAAAATCCAAAGTAGGAATTACTAAGTGCATTYTAGAAATATCTATTTCATTAATCTTCTTGTGTCTTGTCTGTCTTTTGCCTTTTTTAAATCTTGGTGAWGAGATTGCAGGAAACTGGGGAGAAACCTTAGAAGACGCAAAGTACATTTTAACTAAATAACAGGATGATTTTTACACTGCCCTCATTCATAGCTTTTTAAAAGCTTATATTTTGTTTGGAAATTTGAACGGCTCTAGCTCGTTCGCATTTGAACTGATTTACACCAAATTTATTTATTTTGCATTTCACAATAAGGTCTTTCTTTYTAATTTGGTCTAATCTAGTTTGGGGATATTACCCAGAGTTAATCTGCGAACAGAGGTACTTTTCTCACCCGCCGAGAAGCGAAAAGTACCTCTGTTCGCAGAGTAAGCTTTAAAAACCCTTGGCTTAAAATCCGGCAATGCTTACCCAATTGTGTGACATATCATCAATTGGTATAGATGGCGCCATGTGAGGGTTTCTCGCAGCTTGCACAGGTGTAGAATAATGCTTTAAGCCTTGAACTGGACTTTCAACAAACATCAGTTCCGGTTTACAACGTTGCATAGACTCGCTGTACTTTCTTTTCTTCTTCTTGGACGCCATTTTGGAAAATGTTTATTTCCGCCGTGATGCACACTGGGTAGAAACCGCCAATCTCGTACCCCGAGCCTTCGTTTCTCTTGGCCAGCGCCGAAAAAGATTGTCGAGGCGCTGGCCAAGAAAAACGAAGGCTCGGTGTAGATTGCTGAGAAGATTCAAGATGGCGTCTTCCATAGAGATACCGCTTCGAGATACAGACGAGGTAAATTATGGGCTTAAAGATAAAGTAACAGAGGAATAGTTTTCAAAACACTCTCTCTTTGATATTTTTAGATAAGAAATTCAAAGATTACTCTTTTCTAAGTTCTGTAACTGMCAAGAATTACGGCGGAATGTTATCAAAGTTAAATTAAGTTAACTTAACTTTAAGAAGCTTTTAAGCACTGATTGATAAGCGTAATTGTTAGTTACTGATTACGTTTTTTTCCTCGTGCTTCTGCTATACATTTCAACATTTTTTAACTCACACATCAATTCGTTTCATTAGAAAGTTAGGCATTTGTTGCGATCTGACTGTTTAAGTTTATACTTAAGTTACTCTTAATAGGCTATAAGTACAGCGAMAACATTTTGTGTTTTTGAGGTCCTCACACTTATTATAATACAAGTATTGAGGATTTCTGCTGTTTTAAGTCTTTTATGTTAGTCTCTACACTATGAACATCATCAAGTTAGTGGGTAGAGAAGGAGCTTACTGAATCMAGAATTGGTGTTTATTAAGGTAGCTCCAAAACTGCTTGGAGCTTTGAAAACTTGGGTTTATTGTATTAGGAACAATTTTATGGAGAGTAATAGAATATAGCAAATTGGGGTTGTTGACCACATCTGCTTAATGGAGGTGGACGTTTGTCTAATTTACATGTACATTAAACATGAGCGAACAAATTGATGACTAAAATTTATATTTTAAGTGAACGTTGAATAGAGAGTGTCCACTTCGATTTTAAAATAGAGGTTTAACTTTACTTTTTTAAAATTTATTTTGGAAAACGTCTTATCATATACGTTACATTTTATTGTTCTTAAGGTAATAGAGCTTCAGTTTGACCAGCTGCCTGAAGGAGAAGAACTACTGACAATATTAAAGCAAGAAGATGTCCGACTCAACATATGGAACACACTGGCAGTAAGTTGATGGCCCTTTTTAGTCGGACTAGCTGAAGGCTAGGTCAACTTGAGTTTTACCTTTTAGCCAATCAATCTATCTATCTATCTATCTGTGTATTTTGTCAAGTTTGGAGCACCAGAAGTTAAGAATTTAATAATTAACTATTGGGATGGCTGTGTTATTACATGACCGGAAGCTCAAATGTATGTAGTAGATGTACGAATATCGTTAGCAAATGCTAAATGCTACTTGCGCTTTTATGTGTTAAAAAAACTATTTGTTTACAAATGTGGTATCTGTGATCTCATCGGAATGCATCTGTCTAGGTATCAATAGTATGCACATGTGCAGATCGCATGGACCTTCAAGTAGTATGCTGACGAAGCTTTCTAGCGTTAGACAGTCTTGTGTGGGCAAAGATTTCAAATTATAACAAGAAGAAACTTTGTTTATCAATAACAAAAAGGCGATTTTATAGGCAATCTTTTACTTTGATGTGTATTTTTCTTGGCCTGGGAGGTCAACGTATTATATATCATGATATCACTTAGCGACATCTTGTCTGCCATGTTTGATTTTATCAGTCAAAGCAAGAACTCTTTTAAAACATTCATATCAGTGTTAATTACATGACCTTGTAGGTCAAGAAATTTTGCATACTTTGAACTAGACGCTCTTATTAGACTGTGAGTTCGGCTATTTTGGAAAAAAATAAGATATATATATTTTTACTGTCTTTCTCAATTTTCAAAAACAGCTAGTCCGACTTCACGCTCCAAGAGCATCTAGCGTCTAGTCTATGAAATCAAATAAATTCAAATGTACCTTATAGGATAAAATATTTGAAGGTGATTTTTAATTATTTTTAATGCTCACCAAGGGGAATTTGCACAATATGTGTGGATAATCAACAATATGTGTGGATAATCAACAATATGTGTGGATAACAGGAACACGAGCGTAGCGAGTGTTTCTCTTGCTTCTCGAGTGTTTTTCAACTCACACCGTGTTTATATCAGAGGACAGAGACACAAGCGGCCGTTTTATATTTCTTTTATAAAATTTTTCGAGCGAAAAGAAAATTTTGCCGGTAAGCCGTGTCTCTGTCCTCTGATATAAACACGGTCGTCAGCCAATCAGAGCACGTGTTATATATCAAAAATTTAATAATGTAATATATAGATGTTGAGTAGAGTAAAAGTTGATGGTGCATACTCACACTATCTGCCAAACTATTATGAACAGGCAAATTTGAATCAGTAACACATTTCTCACTGACATTTTTTTTCGACTGTCATTCAATGTAACCAAATGAGCAACTGTCTATCATGAATAGACCCTAGTTCAATAGCCAGTCACAATGATGGATTTGTTCCACAGTTTGTACCACAATTGAGAATTGTTTAATGATTTTTTTCACATTTTCATCTTGTCTTGTTTTCTGTTGAAAGTATTTTACACGGGTATGCATCACTATCCATGGGTGGTATACACTGATACCTTGAAAACTAATTCAATTTTTGTAGCTCCAGTATTACAAACAGGAGAAGATGGAGGATTTTGTCAAAATATTGGAGGCTGCAAGAACAGGTAAACTTTAATTTTGATATATTTTTTTTAAAGTATGGGCTGCCGTCACCACCAAAAATACAATTGTGTTCAATGGTATAGGTTTTATCCATCCATCTCAGCTACCGCATAAAAACGCCCCATCAAGTGAAAACCACAGTTTCCAAAAAATATAGACTAAATTAAAATTGTTGTTGATTCTACTGGATGTTTTTCAAGTCTGCACACTTGTCACTTCCTGCATTTCACAAACCAAATAAAAGTATCTATTTTTTCAACAAAATTTGTATGATATATTGGTCACTACTATATTGAACTTAAATACTTTTCTTTAGACATTTTTTATATTTGCCATTTGAATTTAAATAAAGTACAAATTCTTGATGACTTGTGAAATTTATGTTTGGCGGCATAACTTCAAAACGAAAATCTAAATCCAAAAACGCTGACACAGTTTTTTACCTCACCATGGCACAAACGACAAACTTTTTTCAAAATAGCTTCTCAGAGACAAAATAGCAACTTAAAATTGTCTTTATAATTTTAAATAAGTACATGTAATCTATTAATGATTTTGCTAAACCAACTTCATACTAGACTTATTCTTCAGTCTTAATATGATGTTTTTATAATTTGTTATGGTTCTTATCATACGAGGCGCTAAATATTATTTTGAACTTGATAATTTGAAAACTCCAGGAAGGGGAGCAGTAACCTTAACTATACATTATTCAATTTTTCTACCGGTACCTGTATCTTGTAGATGCAAACAGATCCTAYCCAGAGAGTGAAAAGGATCAGATGGCATGTCTAGATACCYTGGCAGCTTTTTATGTACAGCAGGCAAGAAAAGAAAAGAATAAAGAAATCAAAAAAGAACTTTTTACCCAGGTACACAAATCATGTATACATTATAATGATAATCAGTACTGTTCAATCTGGCAGCTGCTGTACAGTGGTTCAGTTGTACAATGCTGGCTCAAAAGGTGACAGGTGACAGGTTTGATTGCCAGAAGGTCAACAAAAAAGAAAAATACTTTATTCCAATAGAAAAATTTGTGATTGCAAAAGCACAGAGAGCGGTATACATGTTGATGAATTTCCAGCTGATAAGAATATACTTCAAAATTTTAATAATAAAATAAAATAATAAAATAAGTATCCATGTTACTATAGTAGCATATAGATATT